TCCTCTTATAGAATGTCATCTCATTCACTCATGACGTATCCCAGCACTCACTGGTCTGAATGACTCTGTATCACAACTGCATCTGCAGAGCCCATGGCAGACTGCTGGCACACACAGTCATGTCTGACACTCTTTTTACACTTCCAAATGTTTGTCATCCACGCACTCCACAAAAGGAAAGATGGTAAATTTGCACTTGCACGCCGCATCCTACAAAAAACCTTGAAAAAAAAACAATGACAAAATAGAAAAAAAAACTAACACTATTTGAGAAAGACACCGGCAAAAATACGTATAATAATAACAATTGCTTACAATTACTGTATATAGCGCTTTCCTGGACACTCCACTCAAAGCGCTTTCCAGGTAATGGGGACTCCCCTCCACCACCCCCAATGTGCAGCCTCACCTGGATGATGTGACGGCAGCCATAGTGCGCCAGAACGCTCACCACACACCAGCTATCAGTGGGGAGGAGAGCAAAGTATTGAAGCCAATTCATAGATGGGGATTATTAGGAGGCCATGACTGGTAAAGGCCAATGGGAAATTTGGCCAGGACACCGGGATAGCCCCTACTCTTTTCAAGAAACACCCTGGAATTTTTAATGACCACAGAGAGTCAGGACATCCGTCTCATCCGAAAGGACACCGCCTTTTTACAGAACAGTTTCCAGGTCACTATACTGGGGCATTAGGACCCACATAGACTGCAGGGTGAGTGCCCCCTGCTGGTCCCACTAACACGTCTTCCAGCAGCAACCTTAGCTTTTCCCAGGAGGTCTCCCATCAAGGTACTGACAAGGTTCACACCTGCTGAGTTTCAGTGGGTTGTCAGCTGTGAGTTGCAGGGTGATATGGCTGCTGGCTAAGCTATAGTATAAGCTATATTCTTGAAGCTTTCTTTGGCTCTGTAGGATCACAGGTTTGTGACTAGTTGGTCACAACCACACCGAATCAAAATTTCCATGTCCATCTTATTCACAGCTCCAGAAATATTGAAACAATGTTTGATTCCTTAGTAACAGGAGAAATCATTTTGATGCAGACCACAAGAAAGTAAAACAAAACTGAAGCAGATAAATCATAGTTTTGCTTTCATAAAAAAGTGATCTAATTATAGAGAGCAAACATGAGAGAGAAATGCCTGAAGTGTAGGTTTTCTTGAACATTTTAGCTGCCCTGGTAGCAATTGAATTACCCACCTGCACAGAGGGACTTGTGCGCAGTGCCTAGAGAGATTATTGGCTGTGTGTTAAACCATGTATATTCTACCTGTGTATCTCCTCTATGATACAATGCTGCTGCAAATAAATATACAAGTGTTTTTTTTTACATGGAGGGCTTTATTTTAAAGTTGATTTCTTCCCTCCATATCTGTCTTGCCATCTTGGATTTTGTTTTTCAGTTAACTAATTCTCAGAATAAGAGAATGATATTTGGAAGACCACAATAAAAGCTGACATCACACAAGTAAAATCCTGCACACCCTGTTCACATCCTCTGCTCTAGGACGACTGCCTCATCATCCAAACTGTAGCCACCAGCATCAATTCACTTTAAGGGAAAGAAGGAGCCTGACAGTTCTAGGCTGGTGAATAACAGGGTAAACTGATATGTGCAATCATGCTGAGTTCAGGGAACAACCAAATAAAACCAGTCCACAGGGTGCAGATTACCAATCAAACACAAACACATTGCCCCACAAAACTGACCGAGCTTGAGAAAGCATTTTGAGACAAACTGAAACTCCAAAACAGTTAAGTACATGAAGTACACAAGTAGGTTTATATATACTGTCCAAAACAGATGTTACAGTGCACAACCTCCCTCAGAAGCAGAAACATTGTAACAGATACATAAACATATATTTGAACAGGTGGGTTTCTTTCGCACAGTTACATTCAGATATTTAAAGGATTTAAAGCTAACTGGCAATCGACTTCTCTGCAAAAAAAAGGTGAACTGTCAGTTAACAGGATTCTTCAAATTTTTAAAACACAACTGCTTACAGTAGCCTTCACTCAGAAATAATCCCCTTAATCACCAGGAGTGTCCCAATACTGCAAAGGTTAGTTTTGGGACAACAGAAAAACAATATACAGACAAACAAAACAGGTGCACTGCACCCTGTACTCCATTATAAAGATCTCACTGCACAGCTCAGGCAGATCAATATTAACTTCGGGGAATTTTTATAAGGTATTTTCCCATCAGTCTTGACCCACTTCTCAGTCCCTGCTGATGAGAAGCACAACTATAACATGATGCTGCCACCTCCATATGTAACGCTTTTGTCTAAACGCATATAGACAAAAAACAAACATTTGATCACAAAATCCCTTTGCCACACGTTTGCAGTGTCATTTAGGTGCTTTGAGATTTACGGTGTGTTCTTTCGGTTCCACACAAGCCTCCTCTGTGGACTGACCAAGATATAGTTGACTCCTGGACATTTCCTCCCATCTCGACCACAGAGCTCAGCAACTCTGAAAAGGTTACTGTTGGCCTCGTGGTTAACTCTGTTCTTCCTTGTTCCTCCGACTGGAAGGAACAGTGTCTGGGGGCCTTCCACCTCACCAGGCTCAGAGATATTAGGGTATCTGAAATGTTTTCATTTATTTTATATTACTGTATGTATTTTAATTTTTCATCTGTTCTGATGTCTGTTTTTGCTTGTCTTGGGATGGGCTGCTGTAACACTTCCTTTTCCCTTTGGGATCAATAAAGTCTTATCTATCTCACTACCTGATCGAGGGGCCTTACCGAGTTATATTTATTCATATCATACCATTAGACAATGGCCACTCAACTAATTGTTTGTCTCATTAAAGTAATTTTGTGCACCTAGATTAACTGAGATTTGCCACGGCAATGGTTTTGAATGTTTATGCAGTCATTACTATTCCTGTTTTTCTTTCATATTATCCATTAACTCTTTCTTCTTCTTTGCTTTGAAGGCGGGGCGTGGGTTGTATATTAAACAAATATTAATTGCTACTAAAGTCACTGCAAGCTTTAAAGCAAGAAAATGTGAAAACTGTGCAAGGGTCTCAATACTTTTGGAAGGCACTGGAATAGCCTCTATAAAACAACATACTTAGGTATCTGAAAAAAGGAACAGCCTATAAATTATATTAGCTGTTTTCTACATACTAAAAGGTAACAACACAGAGTTTTACCTGTACAGTATATGCTTTGTGGCACTGAGTATCACAAAGCAAAACGCAACTCAAAGAAATTACTAGCAAACTGAGCTCTGTGATCTATGTACTGAATTGTCAGTCACTATCTTTAAGAACTCGATTGTATAATGTCACAAAGCATTCCACATCCCATGCATTCCTTCAATATACTATTCAACGACTAAGTTGAAGTTGTGTGAATACTTTGCACCTTCACAAAAAGCCTTGCATTGCTACACTACTGTAGTAGTGGATTGTTGCACTGTATATGTACAACACTACATTCTTAGTTATCTAGGGGTCAGTAGCAACCTGTTCAATGAGAATGACATCTCCGAGATGGATGATTACACAGATTTAATAAAGTAGTCACAAGACCTTTCATTGTTTAGTGTTTCCAGTACGGTGAAGAAGGATAACATATTCCAATCCCGTGAAATCACAGACTACTGATGCAACATCTATATTGTTAAAGTTAAATTCCGGACATGGAGTGTTATCTGTGTGGGTGGCACAATGGCAGAGTGGTTAGCATTGCTGCCTCGCAGTACTGGGGCCCTGGGTTCAAAACTGGGGGTCTATCTGCACAGAGTTCATATGTTCTCCCCTGGTTCATCTGGGTTTCCTCTGGGTACTCATGTTTCCAACCACAGTAGGTTAATTGGCATCTGGGAAAATTGGCCCTGGTGTGAGTGTCAGTATGTCTGCATGTCTGTCCTGTGATGGACTGGCATCCTGTCCAGAATATACCCCACCTTGTGCACCTTGCTGAGATAGGCTCCAGCTCCCCCTCAACCCTGAATTGGATGAAGCAGTTAGAAAATGGAGGAATGAGAATTAATTTTATGTAGGTTACATGTGTAAGAGCTAGGGGTGAGTGGTAGAGTTGTTTTGCACCGTGTACAATCACTTATTTAAGAGATTTTATCTATACAGGACATCATTGATACAGCAGAGTTTCTGAGGCTGAGACACTCGTAACTGGTTTCAAAAGTGATATAGACCTGGCAGAGCATGCTACAGGTAAACTTAAAAACTGTAACTGTATCATGTCTTGCACCGATGTTACAGAAACAGTAGCTTTCATACACTGCACAAACCAAAATAGGACCGTATAGTGCTGCATATACAACATGAGCAGAATTTAAAAACTATGGAAATATTCACTGACAGACTGTATTTTTAAGAAGTATTGCACAGCAGATAATGTTTTCAAAGTGCCATCTATCCTAAATCTTGAATTAACAGACGTTTTTTTTAATATTTTTACTATTATGACTAACATATATCAATACAACTGTGTCATTGCAATACTGTGTTTTGAAATTCGCAGCTCCTGTACCTGTTTGTGCTTATCACCGACACCTACGCCACACCACAAACTGCCCGACTTTCATTATCTAGCCACCCCTGCCCCGAAAACTACATACTGTATATAAAAAAAATCGATTTTCAAACAGATCTTTGTACAAGAAAACTCTAAGTTAACTTGATTCCCTGGGATCTGCACCAGGAGCAACCAGAGGTACGACTGCGTTCGCTGTTTACGATGTAGTAGGGAGTTTGGCTAATCTTTCCGTGTATTTACAAACCAACAACGAAAGAGCTTTCCAAGGCAGATGAGTTTGTGTGCATTTATTATTGATGCACCTACAGCGATCGGGTACGCAACCGCCGCAAACACCACCCGTAGGGACAACTCCAAGTAATTTACGATGACTTGATCTCGACTGTTCAATCACTGCTACGCTGCCCACCAACCCAGGGCACCGCCATTCAGTGCCCGGTCTCGTCACCTCGCTTGCTCTGTACTTACTGTTTCTGAACTAGCTCTTCGGCCGATGGTGGTCCCTGTTGTTGCTGGAATGACTTGAGAGACTCGAAGGCCTTCATCAGTTTCTCCATGGTGGCCATTTTAACAGGAATAATATTTACAAATAACACAAACAGCGGGGCAACGCAAAGACGTTAAGGAAGGGAACGGCCTACGCGCTTCATGCGTGTTAAATCCAGCCACGGGTTTGGGCTCCGCGACACCCCACCTGTCACGGGGATTTCGTTACGATTTTTAAAAATCTATCATTTAAATGAATGGGACTTAGTTGCTGTTATATCCAATTTTGTTAGCCATCTTTGATGCATCCCATCAGCCTCCCTCCTAGCAAGGAAGTATATTCCCTGACAGCTTGAGGGGGAGCCGCGCTGTGAGTGGCTGATCGGGAGCCGCTTGTGTTTGATTGAGAGGACGGGAGAGCAATAACACGACCGGGGCTGTCTTCATCTCGGCAAGAGGGCGGCGTGGATTTACTTACCAAAGCGGCTCAGAGGCTGAATGTACCACGAAGTTTTCTTGCTGGGAGGCTGCCTTCTGATTGGTCACCGTATTATTTTTATTGAACAGCAAAATAAATCCCTCTTTTTACCCAAAAAAACATGACCTTAAGGCCACAGGTTTCTGATCTGATGTTGATGGTAATTAGTTTGAAGATTGGTAATCAGTAAAGCGTGGAGATGAGCTTCCTGTCCTGTCAAGAGAAATTTCTCTTTTGTCCTATCATACAAATGTTGTGGTACGTGTACTGAAAACCACAAAAGCAGAGCTTCGACTCTCGTGTGTAGTACTCTGGATCTATGATCTGGATATTTCGATGAATTTGTGATAGTGGTGGCTAGCTAGTGAAATAATGGCATGTTGCATCACATACTGTATCTGGGATGTCCCTGTGGACGGTAAAGTAAGTAGCAGGGACTTTCAAATGCATTTGGGGGAAAACGGCACAATACAGCAAATGTCAGTGGTCAGTTGATATATCAATTAATATGTTTAATAGGAACATTTTTTATACAGGGTAGTGCTGTGGTTAGCATTGCCTCCTCACAGCTCTGGGGCCCTGGGTTCAATTCCAGACCTGGGGTGCTATCTGTGTGGAGTTTATATGTTCTCCCCATGTTCATGCAGGTTTTCTCTGGGTGCTCCCATAATTCCAAAGACATTCTATTAGATCAATTGGATTTTGGGAAAACTGGTCCTAAGTGTAGGGGTGTTTGTGTCTGCCCTGCAATGGACTGGTATCCCATCCAGGGTGAATCATGCCTCACACCTTTTGCTTGGTGGGACAGGCTCTGGCTCCCCTGTGACCCTGAATTGGGTAAAGCAGTTACAAAATGGATGGAAAACCACAGGAAGGGTCTAACTACTTGTGCAAGGCACTGTACACTTCTTTGCAAATTACCTAGCAGATCTGGTAAAAAAATGTATCTGTATGATTATCTGTTCAGGGAAATCATATTTATTAGCCAGGGCTTTGAATAGCATCCCGTACTCCAGTGGTTTGGTATAATTTTCCAAATGCATGCTTCAGGTTTTTTTAAAAAAAACCTGTTTGATTGCAGTATTTGTAGGTGACATTCTTTCCACAGAGGGAACGTCCTTTAAGTCTTTTTACACACCTAAAGAGCCTGCAGCCAAGAAAAGAACCCAGACCTCGTCTATTCCTACCCCTGTTGGATGGGACTCAAAAATAAGACAGTAATATAGTCCAGGTGAACTTTAACACAACAAGCCTTTATTATTAACAAATGCATTTATTTACATTTATGAAAACATAATATGCTATAGAACGATTGACGAGCATTTACACTCAGTCCTTCCAACACAGATTTCAGTTCTTTGCTAGGGGTGCAAATGTGTATAGCGCACAGCCCCCTATGGTCTTGACATTATAAAATGATCCAACACATTTTAAATTGATAATGTATTCAAATTTGAATGCTTAGACAGAAAAGTTCTAATGGTAAATTATGTTGCAGTAAATAACAGATTTTTTTTTTTGCATTAGCATTATAGTATTAAAGCAGTATTCTTTTATCTAGGTCATAAACAGCATGAGTGGTTTGTGATGAAAGGTCCACAATTGCCTGGTGAAGAGAATCATATGGTGGTATGTGGGTAACCTCAGTTCAAGGATGCATGAATTCAATATTTGGTAGAAACTATTGGCAGCAATTACAGCTATTCTTGGCTACCTTTTGACAGCAAGTACAACTGCAGTTCTTTTTGGGTTAGCCCCCACCAACTGTGCTTACTGACATTCTGAACTGGCCACTCAATTCCATTAACGTTCTTATTCCTAAGACTTTGGCCCTGCATTCTGGGTCATTCTCCTGCTGAAAGGCTAATGTTCCTCCCAGTTTTAGGTCTTTATGAGATTGAAACAGGTTTTCTTCTGATTTGGTCCATTCATTTTCCATTAGTCTTCTCAGTTCCTTATGAGAAGCAGGCCCATAACATAATACTGTCACCACCATGCTTGACGCAGGGAATGGTGTTGACTGTGTATTGCAGTTGGGTTTGCATTATATGCACTGCTTTGCAATTGTCCTGTATATTTGTAGTGTCCCTTAGGTGCATTGTTGGAAATCCCATGTGAGATTGGAGATGTAAATTAAAAGATCCATACAAAGCCCCTTTGTGGACTGGCTGGGATATTGTTGACCCATGGACATTTTCTCTGATCTAAGCTCTTTCAAAATCACTGTTGGCCTCACTCTGGAATCCATAACTATTTTTTTCCTTTTCCAGTTTGGAGGTACAGCCTGATCTAGGCAGTGTCTGGGTGCCTCCTACTTCTTAATGATCAACTTCACGATCCTCAAAGAGATATTAAGGGTCTTTGATATGTTTTTATACCTATCTCCCAATCTTTTACTTTACACACATTTATTCCTGAGTTCTTTAGAAAAATACTCGGTTTTATGATCCATTCACTACCTGACCAAGGAACCTTACAGAGACAGGTCTATTATTTGAAAATCATGTGAACTGCTTTTATTACATACACACTGAGACTACTAAACTAATTGTGTGTCTTGTTAAGGTAATTAACTTAGGTTTGCCACAGCTAGTGTTGGGATATTTCTGCAATCATAACTTTACCATTTTTCTTTCATTTATCTGTTTTTTTCCTTTTTTTGCTTTAGTGTTTGGAGCAGATTGTATAAGAGACAAGAATTTCTACTTGAAAGTGTCATGATTGTAATCTTTAAATCAAAGTGTGTAAACTGAGCAAGGGTCTGAATACATTTGCAAGGCACAAGGTCTATCATTGTATAATGGCAGCCAAGCCGAATGTATAGAAGGGGTGAGAGGCAACCCTTTCCCCTCTTTAAATATGTAATATTTATAAGTAATTTTAACAAGAGATGTTTCCATTTTCAGCACTGTCAAAAATATATATTTTACTAGCCCTTTCACCAGTACATGACACCAGGATAGTTCATACTTTTTTAAAACCACCAAAGACAATTCACACACTACCTTATTTTTCTCAGCTAAATCTGAAATTCAGCTGTTTATTTTTGGGCAGCTTTAATCACTTTATGGCCCTGCGATGGACTGCCTTCCCATCCAGGGTGTGTCCTCCCTTGTGTCTGTTGCTCACCAGTAGACTCTGGCTCCACCATGACCCTCAGTTGTTAGAAACGTGTTAGAAAATGGATGGATTAATCTCTTTATGCTCACTTAGGGAGAGCTGCCTATATATATATTGATAAAACACCTTGTAAAAAATAAGAATCTTTACTTGTTGCTGGATCCAAACAGTTTTTTTTTTTCCTTTTGTGTTGTAATAGTGTTTTTTAGAGATTTTTTTTTTTGGTTAAAAGAATTGTACATTACATTTACAGGAGAAAAGATCATTTTTGTAAAGCTAATGATAAAAGCTGGACTCACAAAAAGGGTTAGCAGTGTGCCTATGAGGTGATTTCATTTTTACCACAAAACTGCATCTTCCTTCAGCTTTGTCATACAGTGAATTGGTCATGTTTGTGATATTCCCACTCTGCTGCACAGCAAGATACACATTTTACTCCACAAAACAGAATAACTAATGTACAATTTCGAAACTAGAAATTATTTTTTTCTAAACTGATGGTTATGTAACCATCATGGGTTACAAGCCATCCCTTGTGTGAAACGTTAAATTCAAGAACAGTTCTCCAAGTAGTCAATCATGTTAATTACTGGGAAGCAAAATGAGCAAATTTAAAGCTTGAGTCTATCATAGCATTACAGCAAATAAAATTCAATTGGCTGAAGCACCCACTGAAATAGCTTTGTTTAAATAAAGCACAGGGAAGCTATTTTGTACAAACGGCAGTGTTTTATTTCATAATTACAAATGTCAGATATGGTACAACAACCAGTGATAGAACTTGTACAAGAAATACACTTACTGCAGTGGTTGAAAGACAAGACTGTACAACTACAAAATCGGTCACCTTGCATTAATAAAGGCGGCATCCAATATTTCTGATATGTTGGCACTGTAATATAATTTACAAACAAGAAACCTGAAGATTACTACCGATACATGCTTGATTAGTAAAACATTTTAAAACAGGCATTAAAATGCACTTTGTGCAGACATTCAAACTGTTAAAAGTATTTCCTTACCAGCAAAATTCTGGGAAACTGAATACGGTTAGATTAGTCCCTCTGATAAAGGTTTTTTTTTTAGAAAAAAGGTTTGATAATTGGTACATGGTTAAAGGCCAAAGTCTGTCTTAAATGTCCCATTTAAAATAGTGGAATGAGCCATCACAGACTCTCCTTCAATTCTTGGTTTGACGTTATTGGTAACATCTGCAACACTTCTATTTTGATGCCCTGCTACAAAAGCCCACAATGCAACAAAACTATCATTTGATTCCTGCTGTTCTTTGGGGGAGCCCAAACGTTTCTACATAACCCTTACTTTGACACTGGGTTTCTCAATGATTAAGAATGGATGCTTTTAGCAGCTTACCACAGTACATTTTCTTTGTCTGGAGTCTGACCATACTTTTTCTTGCCTTGTCTTCCCAGTCTGTCTAGAATGCTTTGCATTCTGTACCTATGCTTTACCAATTGTTCTTTATAAATCACCACACTTTACTCCTCTTTTACTATGGTATGCCACAATAAGGACTGAGAAGGGAGAAGCATAGAACTGCATGAAAAAGTGCAAAACAGTTTTATGACACTTTGATTGACTATGAAGGAAACACAAGAAGTAACCAAAAGCTACTTCTGATCGTAAAACAATTGCAAATTAGGATTACGACATCACAAAAAGGGTGTTCACATGACAGTTGTCCGTCAGACTGGGTGTTGATAAGAAAGTACTGTGCCCCAGTTCAACTTTGGGCTCCCCCATAAAGGAGAACATTCAAGAATTACCATACAATGCTCTTTTTAAAAACACAGTTACTCACAATGTTGGACAAGTCTTAAATCCGTAAAGCTCTAAGGAACAAGTGTGTTAAAGTAAAGTTTCAATTCTTGTTTTCTTCTGTATTCTAACATTACTGACCAACATATAGTGTAGTAGTCTTAATTATCACAGAAAATATGTTGAAACCTTTTTTACCATTCTATTTTCTTTCAGTACTGTTCAGGACACTAGATTTTCTGCTCTATAATAATTTTTAGGAAAGCAAAATAATACCAAAAATGCTACAGAAATACAGTTATATGGGCAAAGAAATGTTACTATTTTTAATGTGCCCCTTGCTTTTTGTCTATGAACCTGTTGGTCAGAATGTTCATCATATTGAGGATATTGTTACAAATAAGCTATGTCCAGCCTTGGAGTCTGGGCTCCATGAACACAAACTGCAAGTTCAATTTTAAGAAACAATAAAATAAAAAAAATACTGAAACCAGGAACAATACTGCCCCCCATAAAAATAAACACAAATTCAGTTCCAGTATCGCCAACTACTACCCACAACCACAGAATCAATAGTTTTATATTCAATAAATTTCCAAATCACTGCTGTAAGAGGAGTAAAGGGGAAGGATTTGGAAAATTCATTGGTGATAACAACTACAATTAACTTGCTCCAAATTAAATTGCAGTAATAGCCCATAATGTCTTGCAAACTTAACACTGAAATAAATGAATCAATAAGGCTTTATTTTGTCACTCCAGTGAATAAGTAAATATAATAAGGTTGTGGTTTCTTGTACAGCTAGTCCAGTATCAACATAATGCATGAAAAAAAGAGACAGCTACTAAATGCGTGCAAACATGGCTTCTATCATGTAAAGAAAGATTGTCACCAATTTTCACAGCATTAAAATGATTAACAAACGATATCTGTTGGCTAAAGGAGTAAGCTAAAAGGTGTCTGTAGCTGATTTATGGAAAACTGAATTCCATCATTTGGTCCGTTCAGCAAAAAAACACACACTTAAGCCAAGTAATGTTCTAATGCAAGAACTTCAGTCACACTTTCAACACTGTCATTCATTTTGAAGAAAATTTTATGACACTGAAAAGTGCCAGTAAAAGTTAATTCTTCAAACGGAAATGTCATGTTTGAAAAATGCACGGCAGAAACACACACACACACACAGAATACTTGTTGGTGGAGGCAAAATGCTTCTGGACAATAAAAAGAACTGATCGTATAATAATATACTGTTATATACCGAATCCTGACCACAAGCCTTTCAATCAAAACTGCAAGCCCTGCAAACTTTTTGTTTGAAATTCCTCTGCCCCCCCCCCCATGGAGGATTAATTAGTTTTACATAGGCAGAAGTCCAGATTTAAAAAAATAGAAAAAAAAGAACTCTTCAACTGAAGAAACAACACAAAATATTAAGGATGTAAAGCAGTTTATGACATTGAAAAAGAGGATTTATTGGACTCTCTTGTACTAAGAAATAAAGATTTCAACAAAGGCATTCTTCCTTTAATGCAGGCAACAGCCCAAAAGCCACCCGAGTGATACACGCTGTTTACAAGCCTAGTTGGGTTCTTAAAGAAAGGAAGCTGCATTTGTAAGATTGGTTATATATATATATTTTACAGACACATTAAGGAAATACAAATTTACTACAAAATTATAGCCAGACATATGTAATGAAGAGGTAACACCCAGTTCCATTTTCAAATGGAATCACGTTGGGGCCTCCTGAGTGGCTCAATATTTAAGCCTCTTGCCAGGAGCAGCCCCACGGCATGGAGCCTGGGTCATGTCACTAGCAGTCAGTGACTGAGATTCCCCAGGCGATGTTGCACAACCGAAAGAGTACCAGCGAGGGGAGGCTGTGAGTTTTTTGGGAAAAGGACATTCTTGAGTCTCGACCAACAAAGCGACCCAAGAGGCCTATTGGATGACTGTGGTGAGGGACACGTCTCTCCTCAAGTCAGTGCTCACCTTCCAGTAAGGGGGCTGTGTTGTCTGTGGCTTCTTAAAAAAATTATCCTCATAGCCCTTTTCTGTCTAGTCAAAATAAGAGTAATTTAAATATCCTGTGTTTTAAAAGCAGAGCAGATGTCGATTATAGTATGGTTTACTGTAAAACAGGTGGTAGTAAGATCATTATCAGCTTTTAATTAATAACAATTGCTTACAATTATATAGTGCTTTTCTGGACACTCCACTCAAAGCGCTTTACAGGTAATGGGGACTCTCCTCCACCACCACCAATGTGCAGCATCAACCTAGATGATGGGACGGCAGCCATAGTGTGTCAGTATGCTCACCACACACCAGCTATCAATGGGGAGGAGAGCAGAGTAATAAAGCCAATTTATAGATGGGGATTATTTTAAGGCCATGATTGGTAAGGGCCAATGGGAAATTTGGCCAGGACGCCAGGGTTACACCCCTACTCTTTTCAAAAAACGCCCTGGGATTCTTTTGCTTCCAGAATGTATTTTAGTTTGAAATTTAACATGCAAATGAACTGTAAGGACCTTTCTTTTTGATATCATTGAGAATGCACTCTCACAAACAAAAGAACATTAATAATGCCACGTTCCTTCTAGGCCAGTGCAAGACAGGACAGCAGCAATGGTGGATAGCTTGGGTTGCAAAGGAGTGACACGCCTTTGAAACCTCTGACCTATTACTGAAGACCTACATTTTTTTAATTCTATATTGTTGATATACACTCATGAAGAAATACAGACTGCATTAAAAACCCATGAGGAAGCTGCATAATTTTCACCTCCTTCAGCCTTCACATGACTTGGCCTAGTTTATAAAAAAGAAAATGAAGAATGGATGAAGACACTCATTCATTTTCTATGACAAGTATTTATAGAGTGTTGTGAAAACTCAGATTACTTCAAGGTCAGTCCCCCTTTATTTTATATTCTTTAAGGCACGGGTACACCAAGGTAACTCATTGACAGTGACATGGAGATTGCTAGGCACCATGAAATCCCTAAAGTTTTCCCAGTCTCCAGGCAAGAGTTTGGAATGTTATTCATTGGCTTGAGACCACTGCATACATATAGTATATGATAGCCTATTTATATAATTTGTAGAGTTAGGAAGATGTACTGTAGTCTTCTGTTGTCTATGTCATTCAGACACATACATGACAAGCATGAATCTCCCTAGAATATTTCTATCATGCAAGTCTCTCAATGGTAGAAAAAATGTACAAGACCTAATAACTATCTTACTAAAACAGCAAATGTTGACAAATGGCCTAGTAGGTCCAGGATAATGTTTGAGTCATTGTTACAGATTTTAATAATGGGTATGGGCCAAGAATGGAATGTTTCCATATTGTAACAGTAGGTTACTTCAACTAACTGGTAAGGTGTGCTTCTTTGGAAAAGGAAAAAAGGTGTACAGTTCAATTGACGATATAAGCCTTTACCATGCCAAAGCTGAAGCAACTGCAGTACAAAATCTTTTTTAAGCAGCTGGGCTATTTTAAATCACAAAAGACGGACCATTCTGACACAGCTTTAAAAAGCATAAGGTACCCTCATCCACTTTCTCAAGCCATAAAATGACAATTGTGTTTTTATACGTACCTTACAGATTTCTTACATAGGATGAAATACCTTTTCAGAAAGAGGTTCTACAGCTCAAGAAAAAAAAAAGATGTGCTAATACTATAAGTTGGCCAAAAAAAAGAATAAAACATTAGACATGGAACCCTATGCTATATTAAAAATAAAAGGTAACACTAGTACAGATACCAATAACTGTGCTTCTTTAAAAAAATCTTTAAATACATATTTTCATATTCATTCAAAGAAAAAATATGTATGCATTCAAGTGGTACTTATATGGCTTTTTGTACAATACAACCTTTAGTGAAAATATACATCTAGACATAATTCAAGTACAAATGTACAAAATTTTTAAACTCATACATTTTTCTTTCATTATAATACACTTTTAATACAATTCATAAATACAGTAAAACATTCATTTTGTTAAGATTGCGATGTTTTGGCTGTCAGAGTGGTTTAAATTCTGTACGGCTCCTCTTCGTCATCGCTGTAGCCACTCTTAAAACAAACCTAAGCAAAGGAAAACAAATTATTCCAAACACTCTAGAAAAGCAGACGCAGGCTGAAAATAATTCCAAACTAAGACTAAACCTAATCGCATATTACCAACTTGAAGGTTGTCTTCTATTTGTTACTACGCATTAGAGATAATCAACTACTGATTTTGAAATCGGGGCAAATGTTTTCATAAAAATCAAGCCTTTAATGTTTTAGGCCATAACTGTACCTTAGCATTGTAATGTATCGTAAACATCAAACCTTTTTAAGACCTAAAGTATGTTTATTTAAAGTTTAAGTCAGGCTTGGTGTTCAGAACACTAGTTTTTAGGCCCTTTATAGACTAAGAGAATATGGAATCATTACACTGGTCTTACTGTAGCATTTCCATGGACTTGAACAACACATGAACGTTGTCAAGAACAACACTCAATCGCTTTTGTTTCATTTTTTTTGGCCAACAGAAACAGGTCTGAGCAGGTCTGTTGAAAGGTTAAGTGGGGCTTAAAGAAGCTTATCTACACATTCTGCTGCCTTTGCAAAATGAGATTCTTTGTGTGATGGTAGAGTCAGGAAAATGGGAGCGAAGAAGTGTATATAGAGTATACTGTACATGTGTATAAAACACCCATCTTTCTCTTTGGTTAACTCACAGATGTTAAACAGTGAACTAGGTTTTCTGAATTTGGGTAAAATAGTGGGACAAATGATTCAGGAAATGACACCACCGTACTGTTGTAATTAACAAAACACATTTTCTGATCAGTGGAATATGACGATTTATTATTTTTCACAATCAATGTTTGCCATACTATTCAAGCTCATGCCAAATTTCTACTTGGCCGTAATTGTGAAATAAACAGGAGCTCCTCATCCAATATATACAGCTACTACCATGGTTTAAATTTGGGAAAATTGGAGAGGAAATCTCTGTGCAGCAAACACTGTTTTATCAAAACACTAAACACAGAAAAGTGGTGTCAAGTGCTAAGACCAAAATCTCTAAAAATATAATTGGCGCAGGAGCCATTCAGATGAATAACACAAAACAGACAGCATTGGAGCGAATGTTGTTGCCCCTTTGGATATTTGGCAGGGAGAGACTCTAGGGCTGGGATTACATTAACTTTGGGTGGAAGTACACGTTGCCTGGTAACAAGGGACATGAACTGGCGGGCTAAAGGCAGTGAGCAGTACGGCATTCACACCAGAATTCCCCGACAGCCAAAGAGAAACACTTTGTCTGAATTGGGAAACACTGCATTTTCCACAAAGTTAATCAGATTGTTTCAGGAGTGGTTCTCACACTGGTGTGTTTTCAAGTACCAGTAACCTCACACTGCAATATTGCCCATTTGCCGTTTTGTACTATGTCTTAGCAAAAGCCATGCATAAAAACTTTATGTTTTGTTTGACTATGCCTGCCTTTGGCTTAAGGTATAAGATAAGGAACAAAATATTCTTTTCTATGGTGTAATTCATTTTAGAGAGACTTTGACTTTAAATATTGTACTAGTGGAATAACTTTCTTTCCCAAATAGTATTTACAAAACGTGGTATGTAGCTAATAGAGAGAGTCTAATACCAAAAAAAATTGGTAAACTTTTTGTAAACCTGAAGTTTTAAAACTAACAAACAAACTAATAATAACTCTACCCACTCTAAACCACTCCTCAGGTGGATATTCTTACCTCTTAGAAGTCATGTAGTTCTACAACACAGGATTTCATATAGGCCACTGAAATTAACAGGAGAAGACGCTTGCCATCCCTCTAAGCACCGGCAGTATTATTGATTACTGACAGTGTTACAGCTCAAGATGTCCTGGCTTACCTCTCTACTGAAGAGTCTGTAAAAGAAACCTCTCTTTGGCGGCGGATTCGGCCTATTTACATCTAAATCCGGACACAGTGTCCCATCTGCCTCATACACGTTAATTTCTTTGAAGCATTCCATCTCGATCATCTGGAATGGAAAACACCCAACTGAATGAAAAAGATGCAAAGACGGATCCGCTCCCTTCTAAAAGGATTTCAAAACAATGGGTTATCTGTGGCTTTCGGAAACTGCGACATTCCAGGTACATGCATTTTGTATTTACCTTTGTCTCAGCTACAACATATCATAAGAGCAGAAACTAATGTATTTTTCCTTAACAAAGAGTATGTTTCCACTGCTGAATGATTTTCTTTTGATCCGAGACTTGAGTGACTGTACTGGCAAGTTTGATATTCCACCATCCAAATCCGGCCTCTTTACTCTAACTTGCAAGATTTCTACACTGCTAGAAATCATTTTCTCATAACCCTGTATTTCCATGTAACATTCCAATTTGCTCTGGTCGACTTAGTTCCCATCTTGTGTAATGCCTCCAAATTAGCAGAAAAAAGGATTCTGTAACAGCGATGCTCTATGGGAGATTAAATTGGGTAGAGCATTTAAGACTGAAAACACAAGTCACATCTTCACCCAAAGGGCTGTGGGAGTATGGAACAAGCTACTCAGCCATGTTAAAGCTGACAGCCAGGCTTGTTTCAAATCACAGCTGACACTGTGATTAGACCCATAACCTTTGTCTAATAGTACAGCTGTTAACACAAGGGGCATGTTTTGTATTTGCCTTTAAGCCGTATTACCTCATTCTGCCAGGGGATGGAGACGCTGCCTGTAACAAACTTGTGATAGAAATCATCATCTGTAGGATCCAGATTAACTCCTTTAACTGTGGAGAACTGTTCAATATCCAGGACATCTTTGCAATAGACTGCTCGAGGCTGTGGGAAGGAAAGGACAAAATAAAATCAGCAAGCAGGTTTCAATGGCCATTCGTTGTGAATCACAGATGTGCTGTATCCCAATGGCTATAGCTGGCAGGTCAAAGAGCCAACATTCTAATCCCTTCAATAAGAAGCTGCTTTTAGCCAGAGCTACTCCACCCAGTCAGAGGGAAGAGAGAGCCATCTGCTGGCTGGTTGTGCAGACTACAGGACAAACTATGCCACGACTTTGACATGATTTTAAATCCCAAAGATAATGTAGCTCCTGTACAACTAAAGCTTCACAAGTACAAGCACAAGAGCAGTCACTTATACAAGACAGTGCTCCACACAAGCCTTCAGGAAGACAAACATTAAATTTCTTAGTTTAGTCACAGATGGTTGTTATAATAATTTGCTTAAGGGTAAACAGATCAGTCATACTGTATTTCCACTGGCAATTCTAGATGGACTGTAATGAAAAGTCAAAAGCAAAAAAATGAATTTACAAAGCTGTGCACTGACTTCTCTGGATCAATCTAGTGTGTTCCTAATGTGCCAAACCCCCACCTCCCACCTCCCGAAAAAAAAAAAAAAACATTTCTCTACTCACGTCAGGAATAAAAGGAGGATCCAACATGTTGGCTTCTAGTCGCTTGAAGTTGATGTTTTTAAATATGCGATGCTGCTTCACTTCTGCCCCTCCTCCTCCCTGACAACCCAGTCTTTCTTTGGGGTCTTTAGCAAGCAGCTGTGAAAATGGAAAAGTTTAGATTGGACATTATAAAACTCTCAGTTCAGAAGTCACGAGTTTCTGCTCAATAGGCCTTTAATTTAGATCCTTCGGCCTTCAGCTTGGTAGAACAACAGGATTTAAACTGCAAAGGGCCTAAATACACAGGAGACCTGATGACATCCTTTGCCATTTTTTGTGTACACTATGTTAGATTTCAAAAATGTGAATATGTTTTTTTTCCTACTCTGGATTGAACATTCATCCACCCTGGGGTGGATATTTCTTGAATTACAGTGCTTTGCAAAAGTATTCAGAGCATTGTACAGATTTCACATTCTGTTGTTTTTAAGCTTACATTCATAACACTTTGAAGTAGCAATTTATATTGGCTACATATGCAAGCTACACCACACATTCAAAGCAAAAAAAGTACATATTTTAAAATTCACAAAAATATTAATCAGACACCACTGAAAGGGTCTGGATACTTTTGCGAGGCACTAAATTTTGGATTGTTGCAATCTACTTGCATTCATCTATACTTAAATGTATAACAGTGGTCTTTCATAAAAATGGTATTAAGAGCATGGAAAAGGTCAAAATAGTTTTCATGATGTTACATCACCTGCTTGTTTGATCTCTTCTGTATTTGTTGTTACACAACACCTTACATAAAGAGAAGTTGTAACAAAGAGCCTGTACTGAGATATGATTTAAAATATTGTGGCTACCTGCTGACCTTACTATTTTTTTCTTTGTGCAATGATCCTAATAAAGATCTGGCAAATAGAAATCTCAAGATCAGTTTCAATGGGTAGAACGTTTCACTGATGTTAAATAGAGCAATTTCATTATCTAACCGCTTCGTCCAAATCAGGGTTGCGGGGGAAGCTGGATCGTATCCCAGCAAGCAACGGGTGCAAGGCAGGGTATCTCCTGGACCAGCCGCCAGTCCATCACAAGGCAAACATGCACAAACTCACGTCAGGACCAGTTTTCCCAGAAGCCAATTAACCTACCAGCATGTCTTTGGAATATGTGTGGAAACTGGAGATGAATATGGGGAGGACATACAAACTCCACACAGACAGCACCCTGGGTCCAGAATTGACCCCAGGGCCCTAGCATGGCCAGGCAACAATGCTAACTACTGACTGTGCCACAGTGCCACCCTTGACATTTAACTAAAATGTGAAAAAACAAGCTGATCTGTGATTCTACCCAAAGTGCATCAGTGCAATCATCTATACTTCAGAGGGCCTGGCCCTAGTAAGGGGTTACTTACTGGAGTTTCTGGAATTAAACTGCACCCACTGCCATTACTGGCACACTGGCATTTCTTATACAATGTAAGGAAAAAAGTGATTAAGGAGAGGGCACTCAGGGAGCTACTGGCATCCCCACGCTAAGCTATGGTCCCAGTAAACTTCAGAGCTAAAGAAAGGCCTGCAGTGCTGCACAGGGACCAGAAGGAAGGAGGCTAGCTGAGGCCAAGCTGTAGCAAGTCACATGTGCCAACAGTGAGGTAGTGTATCACGCACTGTGGCAACGTGGGTAAAACTCTGCTACGCCATGCCAGCACGGACGTGTGCCCTCACCGCTCTGCAGATGTCCTTGGCCTCCTCGGAGAACTTCTCCGAATACTCCTCTGGGTCCTCGCGCACCCGCCGGTCCACCTCCTCCCGCTTGACCCGCTCCTTGCGCCGGCGGAACGGAGACTGGCCCTGGATCATCTCGAAAATCAGGCAGCCCAGCCCCCACCAGTCCGGACTGAACGTGTAGCTCTCATTCTGGATCACCTCGGGAGCTGACGGGCAGGAAAAAAAGTTTGGGGGGCATTCCGTGAAAACGGACCCCACAACGGAGGGAACTCTTTAAGACTCGCGGAACGATTAAATTACAAAGGAGGGGTCTGAGGCTCTAGGGAATGTTACTATTTCGCAGATACTGAAGTTTGTGTTTTCACAAACACAGATATCATCTCCTTTGCCATGTCCCCACACTCAATCCACAGACAAGAATGGCCAGCTGCTGCCCGGTGATGTCTCATGATCCTCAGTGCACACCAGCACATTCCAGACGGATTGCTTGTGGCCACTAGGTGGCAGTGTACTATACAATGAAATCCTTTAGGAACAATACCCCAATTTAAAGCTAAACTACAGACAAGGTAAAGTGGGTGTATTCTGTACATTTGGACTGTGACATCAGTTCATTGCCTTTTTCAGTTCCTGAAAAGAAAGTTCAAAGCCAAATGTGTATTTGCATGTTGTGTTCAAGTCAGCTATACCTATGTATACTTTTGTGTGTCCTAATACTAATACTATAATTAACACTCCATGTGGACAGTTACTTGTTGTATGGGCTATATAAACAACACAACACAGACCAGATACCAGCATGTGGAGCATGAAAATATTTAACCCGAAGAGTACTTCTTTGTGTTATTGGGCAGTGGTTAATATTAACATGTGTGCCCAGTGAACTTATTCCAGAGGTGCTGGACTGGATTTGGACCTGGCAAACAGCAGGCCTGAGCACAGCCTACACCTATACTCTGGAATGACACTGGAGTAACACCTGCCACCTCAAGACAAAAACTGTGTTCTGTTGAAAGCTTCAGAGATTATATTGATGTTGTTAAAGTTGAAACAATGGATCAAACACACACCTGAAGTTTTTATCTGTAAAAAGCTAATCTCAATGCAGTGAGTTTATCATCAATCCCAAGATGTCAGTTCCTTAATTTGGCATCGGTTGCTATCTACTGTACATCATGATGTTAACCCAAACCTCAGTGGGCCTTTCTTCTCTGGTCTCTAACCCATACCATACTCCACAAACAGGGCAGAATGGCACCAGAGTCACTACTGACAGGGCAGAGTGCTGATATGGGGTGTCCAGCTTCTTTTCTCGTGAGCAGCAGGGCTCATATCCCAAGAAGAGCCAGTTATAAAGAAGCCAAATAAACCCATTTTTGGCAGGTGGGAGGAAACGAGAATACTCAGAGAAAACCTTGTGCAAGCAAAAGTTGTGGTTGTGGTTTCCAGACTGAAATGCTGCCTAGGCCCAGAATCAAACAGGAAGCTATGAGGCAGCAGCCAGCACCACCTGCCAACCTTTCTCCATTTTACACACCCTTTATTAACACCGACTGGAACACAGAACCAGGATTTATCTGAATTGAGCACCCTTGTCCAGTATCTTTGGGGTTGTCCTTGATATGGAAAAGGCCGGAAAACACTGATTAACAGTGAGGACATTTCCGGGTGCATACACTGTGTACCAACAGGTCTGAGTCACCTGACGTAATCAGACTCATGGGTGTTCTGGAATCATCCAGCGTATTTGTGAAGGTGAAATCAATGTTTAACTAGTCTCTGCTGAGTTGTTCAATCAAGTCTAGGCTACCCCCAGGCTTTTCCAGTAAGCAGACCATGCTGTTGTTGTCTGGTGATGGTCACTGGGTAGATTACTTGCGAATTTCATTTATCCACACTCCCAGCACTCCCAGAACTCGTTCGTGCCTGGTACGCATTCACACAGTGTCCCTCCTTGTACAGATTCAAAGGCACATTTACTTCTTTTGGCATTCCAAACTTGGATGGTAACGAGCAAAAATCAGATCTCTCTAAAAGCGCTAATATTTTCTAAACAGTGGCGGCTCTGGTGGTTCAGTGTTTGAGGTGCATGTAAGGTGCTTATTCTTACCATGCTGTACAGGGGTATAAGCGTAAACATATAACTTTAGACCTAAGACCTAATAGAACCAAAATATGATTAACAGTCACAGATCTTCAAATGAATATTTTACTTACCCATATAACCTACAGTCCCCACCCTCCCTCGTATCGTTTCTCCTTCTGGGATTTGGACGGCTAAACCCAGGTCTGAAATACGGATATGTCCTATGGAAAAAAACGGGGACTGAGAATTAAGCCTTCACTGGAAAACAGTTTACAGTTAACTAAAAAAAGAACAGAAAAACTATCACATCAGGACTTACTGTACAGCTGAATACATTTAAAGCAATCCTACAAAATGTAGTGAATCAGACACTTCAAACAAAATTAAGTTATTTCAAGTGATTATGTAAAGGCCTGTGGGATCTGATATTTAAATTCCAGTCAATTTTCTTTACATACAGTATATACAGTACACACTCAAAGTATGAGCTTGTAAGATAATATCTCTTCTTAGATCAGGACGGCTACACTTCAGCTGCATTTTATCTTTACATTTCCTGCTTTTCTGTTCTTTAAACTCTTTTAAGTGTGCCAAATCTTTTTTTCAGGAGTTCTGGCATTAGTAAGTTCTGCTACAGCTTTATTTTTTGGGTAACCATCATTATGTGTGAACAATGCTGTTGCATTTCAGTACAATATTTAGCACCAAGATCTGAAGAAGTGGAAATGCATAAACTACAACTTAAAGTGAAACTGTATATCCCTCTATCCATCCATTTTCGAACTTCTTTTCCAGTTCAGGGTCACAGGGGAGCAGGAGTTTATCCCAGCAAGCAATGGGAGCAAGGCTGGAGAGCACCAGTCCATCACAGGACACACACAGACACAAACACACACTCACACCTACAGTAGGCTTGGTTTTCACAGAAGCCAATTAACGTATCAGTATGTATTTTTTTTCCCACTGTGGAAGGAAACTGGAAGACCCGGAGGAAAGAAATTGTATATAAAACAAAAAACTGAAATTGCTCCAAAAACCACGTAAAAGTTTTCTTTCAGCTTCTAGCTTACAACTGTCCTAGGCATATTTTTAAATAATTTGCAGTGACTTACCACGATCATCTAAAAGAATATTTTCCGGCTTCAAATCCCTGTAGAGATGAAAATGTAAGTACTCAGGTTAAAAATAATACAATCTGGCCAATGACTGCAAAGCCTAAAGCCATTCCTGAACAAAGCCAAATTAAACTAAGACCGATACTGTGTTTAAACAGCTGAAATAAAAAGTTTTATTAAAATTAACAATGGCATTTCAGACTTATTTTCTGTTTTTTCATGTTATTTGAAGTTATTTGGCAGGGCTTTTTTCATAACCTTCTGCACATTGGGTAAATTCTTCCCATGTCATGATTTATTTTAAATTTGCATATCCCAATAAGAAAGTTCATTGTTTTTTTTCCTGAAACTAAATTTTGAAAAAAATGTTCCTTGACAATTTTTCACCTGAATTTATATTTACTAAGATCTTCACTTTTTATTTAGTGCAAAAACTGAAAACTGTCCTGGAAGAAGTATCATTCAAGAATGTTGCAGTACATTTTAATGTAATAAGAATAAACCACACCTTTACAGTTATCACATTCATTGTTTTATAGCCTGCATACCTGATTTGAGACACTCATCTTAGACTCAAGACATCCACTCCAATTCTTTTAAATCAGAAAAAGTGAAGAAAAGCGTGTTTTGTGCACAAAGCCTTTCATTTCCTATCTAAAGTACTCCAGCTCATCAAAAAGCAAATCAATTTAATGACTGTAAAGTGACTGTACAGTGCCAGTATTAACAAGGTTATCCACTGGGTGTGCTGTTGAGCCACATGATATCATTCAGTTCATGACAGAAAATAAGATTAGGTAGGTAGTTCTAATGTTTGGCTAAACAAAGTGTACTGAGTTTCTTATTGTTCATTTTTCAATTGAAGAAGACTGAGATTAAAGCGTAATTTGTTTAAAAATCAACTTTGTTTTGGTCTCTAGGCTTTGAGGGAAGTGACCCAAACAGCCCATCTTCAGAACATCTGAAGAGAAATTCATTTTAAATGTTCATTTTAAAATTGAAACAAAGCACCAAAACAAAAAAAAAACAACAACAAAATAACTCCGGATTCGGAGTATATTTTGATTCATGGGTGATATCAGGGGTGGCCACAGAGCCTTTCATTCAGAACAATTTTACCACTGCTTCATCAAGATATTGAGCAGTTTAGAATTTGCAAGCCAGAAAAAGTTTTGATTGATAACGAATGGCAAACAGAAAAATGGCAAACGATTCACGTGATTTTTTTATTACAGCTGTCATTTTTTTCTTTCCCCTTTATTATTAAAGAAGTTAGCAGTTAGCTACTCTATAACACAAAGCCTAAAATCTCATATATTCAAATATGTTCTACTGAACTAATACAAATAATATTCTAATAATATAAATATTGTACTAATGTATCTATACATTCATACAGCAAACTAGATAAGACTTATTACATTATCTTTCATTGCAGTTCAGCTTTTATGAGCTGTAAGTTCTTGAACAGCAGAAGAACATTTTTGCATTCAGGCCAAGTTAAAACAATATTAATGGCTTTCCTTCTAAGCTTTATTAGCACAGACACAGAAAAAAAATACTAAAACACATTACTTTTTGTGAGAAAGAAACAGTCTTCAATTCACTCTGATGAGAATTTTCCAAAATCGTCAAAATTCACAACCACTCAAGGTGAACTTTACGTGAGCAAATGATCATATGAAATACAGTAATCCCCTGCTATACGTGAATTTACCTTATGCGGTTTTGAGTATCAGCACAGAATTAGTTGTATATCGTTTCGCCTTGCACGAATCTGAACTTTGGAGTATTTGCAAGGTCGAGAATCAGCCCTGAGCTGCGATGTGTGCTGGTGTGAGATTTATTTTCTCAAGAGGAGGAGAGAGCAGCCACAAGGTTTGATCTTTCTTTCTCAGTCAGCCGTCTTTGCGGGTGGACATGCAATTTATTAACGCAATTTCTATTAATATGGCTCTTTTGCATATGAGAAAGGGTGAAGAGTCCAGTGTTGCTAAGTGATCTATTGATGAGTTTATAAGAAAAAAAATGTATTTTGATAAATGCATGTGCAAGTGATCACATTATTTCTGTCTTCTCTTGCTACTGTATACCCCAAAGCTCTAGAATTCTATGCCCAAGAATATCAAAGAATCACCTGTCACTTTCCCTGGTTGCTTTCAAATCCAGACACAAAAGATTCTTCTTCGGAAAGTCTTTTTTTTTAAAAATTGATGACTGTGTTTCCCCTTTTGCATTTTCTACTGCATTCTAAACCTTTATTTTTAATTGTACTTAATTCTGTTACCTCTTCTCCTAGTTTGTTTTCTTAACATAAAGTGTTTTATGAAGCTACTTTTAAAGGGACTATATAAAATGAAGATTATTATTACTATTAAGTTACATGAAGGACTAGGTAACAGATTTGTTGTTAGTTTATTTTAAATTAATCCAGAAATCATACAATAAAGAAAAGTGAGGAAGGTAATAGAAAGCACAAAAGAAGTTGTTCTTTTGGAGCAACAATATCACTCATACATGCCAAGTGTCCTGATCTACAGTACATGGGTGCCATCACAGCAATAAATACAAGGATTACGTCAGGAACTGTATAACTAAGAATTTCCTAAATATATTGTGTTCTTCTTTACTCTGATGTTACGATTTTACTTTCTGATAGGTGAAGATAATGTTTGAGAGATTTTAACATTTTGAGTCATGACTTCAGTTGCCCTAACCCTATTTCCCCATTAGGTCTTAAATTTACCAGCTGCAAGGGATGACTGTTGAAGCTAATGCATCACCTTACAATAATGAAATTTGTTTTAATTGGAAAATGTGTTCCTTATCCTCAGCATCATGTATTCCTCACTACACAGCCATAAAGCTGAAAGGCCACTTTTTGCACTGCAGCGTGAACATTTATTAGGATCAATCATTAAAAAATCAGCTAAATAGTGTTTCTAAAACATTTGCCCAGCAGTGTACTGTCTGTATGCACACATACACCAACATCCATATGTAGCTTGACAAGAAGCAGAAGACTGACCACTGCAATCGCTGAGAAAAGAGGGCTCCATACCTGTACACTATCCGTTCTCGGTGAAGGTCCTCCAGCCCACAGCAGATCTCAGCCGCATAGAAGATGGCCCTCTGTTCGTCAAAGCCCGAGTTTCCCATGTTGTAAATATGGAATTTCAAGTCTCCACCATTCATTATCGTTAATACTAAACAAAGGGCATCCTTGGTCTCATAGGCGTAGGCTAAACTAACCTGAGGAAACGAGAGGGGGAAAACACAATTGAAGTATTGGAAGTCTTTTCCGTCTATTCACGTCAGCAGTAATATTCCTCTGCTATTTGCTTACTAAACAGAACTATAAGATAACTAAGGGGCGATACTGTCAACGTGGGAATAACACTCATCTAAAGAAGTCAAAGTTGAGAGCAACTTGTGAAAGGCTCCGACTCCGACATTAAAACAGTGTTTCCTTGCACACCTCTGGAATTTGAAAGATACGTGCTTTTTAATAGTGTGCTGTCTGATCTTTAAGCTAGAGTTCAAAAGCTTTAAAGGCTGACTGCGCTTTGAAGGACTTTTGTTTATGTCAGGTTCGCTGTTAAATTCAGCACCTCTGCACCGTACACTGCTGTGCTTTTGCTAATCTACTGTGTTTCTCACAGGCACTTGCCATAGTTCCTGTGGTTAGCAGCGAGTGTGGGGCTCTGTGCACTCAGTCTGATTAGAACTCCGGAGGAGAGATAAGTCAAACCTAACTGCACAGGACTGAGGAGTTGCACACAGGGATGGATCTCCCAGGGGTTTTATTCATGTTCCTTTTCTTCCATTGTTGCCCTTTTCTGGGAATTTATCTTGTTTCAATTCACTTTTAATGTGATTTCATTTTTCCAGTGGCTCAAACTGGTGTGATTTTAACTTATTTAATTATGAAGTACTTAAAGGCCATATTAAGCACAAAAATGCAACATCATTTAATGTCCAGACTGTTTCTCCAGGTAAACTGTCTCTGTCAATTCACATTCCTATAATGGTAGCACATGTGTTTTTTTCTTCCAGAGCCTTGTTTAAATGTTCGAATAATGAACTTCAGCTCCATATGACTTCAAATTACCTTCTATAGGAAGAAGGCTGTGTTGTGAACAATAATCAACTAAGATTAACTAAAATGCAGTTTGCTTAGAGGTAGATTTATAAGACAGCAGAATTTAAGTACTGGCACCTCTTGCCCAAATTCAACCACAATCTTCACTATACCTTGTTAAATGAGTCAGATTTTAATAACTTTTGAAAGAATATTATCGATCAGTCAGCATAATTTAATAAGCGATATTTGAGAGGGATCCATACTGCTGCAATTTTAAGTTTGCTTGGAAGGGTCTGTAATTGTACAAGAATGCACACATGTTGCTTCAAGTAAGCATGATTATGGGAGTCTGTGTAAATTATTATTTCCAACTAGCTTTGTAAATATTAGACGAAACATACAGTACAGAACGTAGATCTACTTTTTTGTAACCAATTGTTTTTTTCAGCACAGTTTCAGGCTGTGTACTGTTGATTCTTTGGTTAATTTAAAATTGGTGGTTTGTAAAAGGCTATAAAAATTAGAATGGCTAAGAGGAAAACTACTACTCTTATTACATTAATGTTTTAATGCAGGATGTGTGGGTTAAAAAAATGACCGTCCACAACTAGAGCTTATACATCCAATAGCTAGCTTTTATCTTTTGTCATGAGCTTTTGTCATTATGATTTTATCCCTTTACTAATAATCCACTTCTGCATCCTAATTAAGAGCCATCTACTAATTTCAAATTCTACTTTTTAGTTTTCTATCTCCGTTTCTTTAATTAACGAAAGAGATTAAAATGAATCTTGCTATTAGCCAGCAGTGCCAACTTTAAGCTGGAAAGGAAATAAGACAGAAATGCCCGTTAGGATCAGCACCAGCCCGTTAGTTCAAGATTTCTTTTACTTGTGAACTGCGGTGCAATTGCTTTCACACTCAGGGACATCAAAGAGGAGTCTCCCCAGAGTCCCCTTAATCAAGCCGAGGTCACCTTTTCAAGTAAAGCCTGGTTTGCTTATTCTGTGCACGCTCTGATCCAAAACAAACATTTCTGACATTTCACACCTGCCAAACTGATCCATATCTAGGTGCCAACTGAACTCTGATCCAAGTAATCCTCTCCATATGAACTATGCGGCATAAAAGCCTTCTTCAGTGTCTGTGTCTGTAAATGTGTAATATTATAGGCTTGTTTCACTTTCCTTATATAGTCTATACAGCTACTGCTTCATACAGAGTTACCAGCTTCATGCTTGTGTCTAGAAAATGCTGTCAGGGAAGGCAGTTGGTCTGCCCCAAAGTGAACTCGACTGGTACTGTGGCCATTCAATGTCTCATTCTTATTGCACAGGCCAGCAGCCACCTGATGAAGAGCTTCTAGATAAAGTGCATAAGGCTGACTCGGCTGTCTCTCTTGAGCTGAACTCTATTTGGTATACCACAGATCGCAAAATATTTCAGACCTGCCCGGGACCTTATTGTTCTTTCCTTGTTTCTTGATTTTTCTATTAAGCCACATATGCTTCTTTAAATTTGCCCTTCAAGTATTAAGTCTATTTTGTGGTTTATGTTAGTTAAAAGCAACAAATAATTACAAGTTCGCTCCTTTTACATTGGGTTAATAAAAACCAATGTCTCTAACGGAGAGTAAAAATGTCTTTGAAATTTCCCAACTGGGCTTTATCTGGAAGAGATAAAGGTTTTTCTTGCGCCATCCAAATTAAACAGCCTTACAAATCTGGAGTGCTACTTTCTGTTTAGCTTCAGAGAAAGCAACAATAAATGGGTCCTAATACTATCTCAAAATATCTTACTTAAAAAAAGACATCAAACTAAACAGACTCCAAAAAAGGAGCTTCAAAAATAATTATGTTTAGATTCTCATACCGAATTTATCTTACACAGTAGAAAAACATTCCAGATAATATCTTTGTTTTCTGCGGACTATTACATAAAATACTTTTAAAGGTCAATAGACTGGAGTACTACTTGGCCAGTCTGCCAAACTACAGTGTACAGTATATGCTATGACATTCTAAGGAATCCAGTCTGCTTTCAGCAAAATGGAGGTACACTCCTGCATACATTTTCTAAGGATAAAAGAGTGCTGTGAATTAATGCACATAAGACCCAGAGGTTGCAGTCATGAAAATGCCCACAATATCATCACAGCAGAGAGTAATGATTGTCTTCACCACTCATCCCAGTGAAAAAATCTGTAAACTGACTTTTTTTTAAGTTAACAAGCAGGGCGTAATGGATCATTTCTGGTAGAAGAAGAATAAAACAACTGTACAATGGCAGCTGACTCCCAGTGAAAAGCAGAAGGTTGACCAATGAAAATGAAAGGGACTGTAGTTGGAAAAGAAAATAACAATAGCAAGAGAGATCCAAACAATTATCTATGCCCATACAAGCCCAGTTATCCAAATCATGGACGTGCAAAGCAATGATGTGTGTCCCTAACTCTTTCAGAGCCTAAAACAGGATTCGTTAAATTCAAGGGTATTTCTTGTGGGCAACAGAAGCGGCATTCTTTGGAGGGACCTTACTTTCCATACACGTTTTTAATGCTATGATTGCTCATTAGAATTCCTCACTTGATAGGAATGTAAGAAATGAGGTAATTTTGCAAAGAATGGGAGTCAGGACAGTGAAAAGCTTCCTTTCCCTCATTTGCATTTGCCTACAACTGCAGTAGGTTCTGTATTGAGAAATGAGAGATGCGGGATGGATGTGTACAAAGACACTGTTTAATCTTGTGGCACATACTGTTCTGGACCAGACTGCCGTGTTCACTACAATGAGCCCGGTGGAGTCTGTTCTGGGAGATTTTGCTGAAGGGGATGGATAACAATTGAGGAATAAATGAGGTAGGACCAGCCAAATTGCCCATGTTTTGGGATCTTTTTAACTTGAATGGGTTCCGATTATAAAGCAAAAAAGCATTTCCAAAATATAAAGAAAACGTCAACAGTACAGTACATGTCTGAGTTAAGGCTATTTTCTGAAACTGCTGAAAACCTATGCCAGTCATCACTGAGAAAGATTTTGTGTTTAATTTTTTAACCTCCCACCCCTACTCAACTGACAGAAATTCAAATGTGGGAAATGTAGTATTGCTTTCTGAAGTGTTGCTAAGGAGTGCCAAGGATCACAGCCTTACAGCAACATTGTTTTCCGACCTCCTGGTGAGCATATTTTATACATATCATCTGATAAGATTTTATAACAGAACATTAACAGACTGATTTCTTTTTCTCACCATAATCTCTGGGGCTTATTTTCTTAGCAAAAAAAACCAAACACATATAACACGACCAAGTGGATGTTAACAACTGATGCGCAAAGAAATGTTAACACAGTCACATTGCTTCAGAAAATCTTCAAAATGTGATGTTATTTTTTTTTTCACATTTGGAAACGGTGATACTTTTTTTCTTTTACTCACTCAACTTGGAATGGGCATATCTTGATTAATTTAGCTTGCCATTACACATCCTGTACCAGCCCAAGGGGATAATGGCTGTGAAGGCACTCCATCAAAATGTCAATCTTTACACTATATACAGGACAGTACTGATGGAGAAACAAAATGTCCCCAACAGCCAACACTACAAGCTCACATTCATATACAGTGCCTTTGAAAGTATTCACTCCCATTCCACTGAAGTCCCATTGGGCTGAATCACAAAAAAATGTATAGGATTCTAAAGGTAAAATTAGTTTAAAATAATAATAGAATATAAAAGAGAAAAATCAAAAAGTAAAATATATTATTTGCACAAGTCTTTAACCCCTTTGCCAAGGTTCATTTGCAAAAATTACTTTTAACAAGTCTCAGTTACTTGACTGACCTCTCTGTACAATAGTAGTTCACATGATGTCGGGCTACATACAACTATCAAGCAAAGATTCAATCATGAAGACCAAGGAGTTTTATACAATCCACGTATTTTAGTTCTGGATTTTTCTTTCCTATTTTTGATGACATTCAGATTCTTTCACTCATGAAAATATTCAGTTTGAGCATCCAGGTTTTGAGAAAAAGCATTAATTTTAATAAAATGTCTTCATCTGCAGTTTAACAACATGGGACACATGGAATGGTGAATACTTTTGTAAGGCATTACAACCCCAGGAGTGTGCAGCAGCACAACAATCTTAATAACCTGTCCAGCTCAAGCATAGCCAAATTCAGCAAAGCTCAGTCAATTTTGTACTGTTGTCATTAGACACGAGTCATAGCTGTCAAACAACAAAAGCTCAAACTAGAACAGAGAATCAGCCCATCAGTCAATTTCTGTTCTAACTGAAGAATTAATCTACCCAAATTGTTGCATCATAGGACTGTGTGGGCTTAATTTGTAAGACAGACATACCCAAAGGATGTTCAAAAGACTGAAAGTGAGCCAAAAGATAGGAACATTTGACAGGGATGAGAAAAGTATCCGTTTTAATTTAAAAAGAAATAAGAATGTATGAGACAGACGAAAGCTAAATAATGACAGTGATAACTCGTCTTTAAAATGTTTTCTTGTAAAAAATTTAGAATACCTTGTAATGGCAATCAATGTAGGCCAGTCAATTTTTATCTAAAGCATGGAGAAAGAGAAGGACACCACACATTCCTCCAAAACATGTGCCTTTGTCAAACCATCCACTCTCACACCGTGATTAAAACTCACATTAAGCTGGGTGCCAGCTGGAAGACAAGACATAAATAACCCTTATTGCCAGTATAACACACTATCAGGGGAACAGTAAGAGGGGTCCCATCTGATTTCAGCCCTCATAACCATAGTGGCACCAGGCCAATTGTGTGCCACCTCTCCCCACAATAGCAGAGCCTGGATCTAACCACAACCTCCATTCGTAACTCAGGACAAAATCTTTTACCTTCTGAGATTTTCCAAAACCATGATGGGCTATCACTTTTTAAAATTCAAGACTGAAATTTTCACAATGACCTCAAACTCCCAGTCTGCGAATGTTCAAAGCTTTAAACACGGAGACACACTGCCACACATTAACGTGGTTGAGAACTACTAATTGACGTGCTGGAGGAAAACTATCTCTTCCTGAGGATTAACATATTGCTAATCGCTGGAGGTGAGACAAAGCCTAAATAATGGTCTCACCAAAGATGGGCATGAATTCTCCTGGCCTTAAATTAGCAATTTACAGCACCTTTAGCTACAAAACTCAACAACAATCCTGGTTTGCAGTACTTGACTTCTTTGGCTAATGCTATTTGGTCGGGGTTGCTAGGATACACAGCTGTTGCAATGCATGAAGTACCATATTGAGAGGAATGGCTTATACCAGTAGCTGCACGTATACTGTAGCTTTTGACTGTTTACAAGCTGAACTGTTAAATTCCTGTGGAAAAAACGTACTTAACATTCATAAATTTAAAAATTAGTATCATGGTGTCAAGGTGTTTAAAAATAAAAAAATGGAAGTAATATTAGTGATTTAACATATTTTGAAAAGCATGTAACCATGTAATGCACATACTGTATATGCATGAACTATAAGCATTTAGATTATGGTTCACACATATATTTGCATTATATTGTTTATTTAGAAGCAATAACTAAACTAAAATAAATAATTTTCTGTTAAGAACTATTTATCAAATTACATACATGCATACCAAAATGATTAAATTACTTAAATTAAAACATGCTTCAAACAATGACTAGCCTTTCAATTGATGAAAACAGTCTATTCTTAGATTTGTTCTGTGAACACATGATACATCTATGGTAGTCGGGTTTCTTGTAAAAAAAACAAGGTATCTCAAAGAACACTTGCAGGTGTGTACATGACACTTCTGAAATAAAGTGTTTAAAGTTTCATTTTTCACAAAATGGTACCTTTCTTTTATTGTTACAAAATGCATGATACAATGTTACTACTTTTAAAATAATATTACAAAAACGCCCATTACATAAAACCCCAATACCTAGTTTATGCACATTTTGGACTGATTACTTTTCCTATACCGGTACTCCAGTTATCTTTCTTATTTTCTATATAATTTCAAAATTAATGCCCTGATTTTGCCAGTTCTCAACATGATTTTCAGACCAAAACGTACAACATTACATTCCACATATCCGGAAAAGTGTGAAATAAAAAAGGAAGTACTTACTACAAATCTACTGTTCACTTTTTCTAAAATGCGTTTTTCGTTTAATGCCATTGCTTCACCTTTTCTCTTCTTTACTCTTTTCTTTTCCAGCTTTTTACAGGCGTACATTTTACCAGTGGCTCGGACTTGGCAAGCACAAACCTGGAAAACAGGGAAAAGAGATGAACAAACACCTCATTGCAAGAGGTAAGACACTGTAATCACAATGACGAAAGGAATGTAGGAGAAAGTGTCATAATACGAACTGCTCTAACACCAATCCTACGGAAGCTTATTAGCGCCGCGGAGTGAAAAAAAACTTGTTTATACGAGAAAATTATTCGTTTAAATACAATAGTTAATTTGTGAACAATGTTGCCTACTATATAAATTATTTGTATTGCAGTGTACTGTATATCCAATAATATTGTCCCGTGCAAAGTAGCATTGACTTTTAACAGTAGAATATCATCACACTACTCTTTTTGAAAAAAAAAATAATAAAGGAGAACGTGTTCTGTTTTTTGTATACATGAAGTAACACACCGTGTCAGTAAACAAGTTTTTTTTCTTGTTTGTGGCGATCATAAACTTCCGTACAATCCATTTTTTAAATGTAGATTTTTTCCTACGAACATAGACGCAAAATAAATTGTCAGCTGATTAATGCTATAAATTGCTCTAATACAACACTTTTGTAAGTCCAGTAACATTTACAACTTAAATGCTTAAATAAAATGCACCAATTAGGAGGAGGCATGCAAAACATTCGTTCGAAATGTAATATAATATTTGTGTTTAGAGAAACCGCTAGACACCTTACTCACCTCTCCAAATCCACCCTTTCCCAGGACTCTGTAATGTCTGAAGGTATTTTTGGTTACAGGTTGCCTGTTTGAAAATACATATGAGGAACATAACTATTGTGAATAACAGTTCCCACTGAGTGAAATAAGCAAAAATCAAAGACAAAGTTGTGACATTACACACACATTTTATATGTAGAGGTGAATTATTTTTTTCATCCCCAAATTCCCTTGCTTGGGTCTGTTGCTTTTAGGCAAATCATATTTCAAAACTGTGTCAGAAAATGTTTGCCATGGCACACATGAGTGTCAGAAACTCCTGGCTTCTAATCAAAAGAAGACCAATGCAGATGTCTAAGTATGTTGTGATTTGGAAATGTCTAAAGAGTTCTAAAGGACAGGACTCATAAGCATATTTCCACTGTGGTCTGAGGGCAGGTTTCTGGAAGTGAAAGACTTTAACTGAACTAACCCAAAGTACATCTAGTGTGTTTTTTTTTTAACTGTGTTAGCCACTGGCTTTGGAATCTTTAGCCTGTAAAAAAGCTAAATGTATGTTAGGACAAAACTGTTTCAAGTACAAATGAAGAAAGAAAAAAGTAACATTAAAATAACATATAGATGCATAAATCTTATTTTAAGCAGACAAACCAAAATAAAAAGTTATTTAAAAAAATGTATTTACATGGAACTATAAAGTGAGAATTAATTTAATTTATATCTTTAAAGCATTTGAAATGGCTTGAATCGCCTTATAAAAATATTTATGACTGTATTTAAAAACAGCCCTGTTTGGAGTGAAACCATGGTTTCCACAAAGTTAACAATCCCACAGTTATGGAATATTTTCATGATCTACAGATCAAAAGTAGTTGCTAGAATATACTAAATAATACAGAGCCAAATCTGAGAGTTCAATTAATTTGAACAAATACTGATTTACACAATTTACAGATCTTCCTCCATTGCCGTACTGCTACTTTCTGCTTTAGACTTCAACAGAAACACAGTCAGAAGTAAACTGAAGAAAAAGCCTCCACAATTAAAATAAACCGACATGACAAGACAACTGTTCCATGGACCTGGTACTGGCTGCAATGTAAAGAAAATGCTCATTGAGTATAACCTGAAGAAAGCTTAGAGGATTCTTCTAGGACTGATCAGAAGAAATGTATGATTTAAATTCAGGCAGGGGTGCACAAAAACATCCTTAATGTAGAAAGTTACTGTATATCTAGACTGACTTGGATGTAATTTGCTGCATCACAGTTGTTTCTTGCCACATGTTCAAAGGTGTATTATTGCGATATTTCACTCTTTAAGTACTTACCTCTCCAACCACTTCCATTGTACGAAACGTGAAAAATACATGCTATCTTGAAATTGAGAAAAGGGGGCTCCACTGAGATATTCGTGAACAATTCTGGAAAAACAAAGCAACACAAACAAGAAAGTTAAATAAATAAATTCAAATGAAGTGCAGCGCAGACTATAAGATGTCACACTTACACTATAGTTACAAATAGAGCGTTATTAAACTACAGGAATATCGGGAATAAGCCGAGCGTATCAACCAATAATTAAAATAAAATAAGCATAACCCTCAACTTGTAAAGATTTTGCCAAGAATATACCCCAGTGGTTGGTGTAATTAGAGGCACCTGAATTCTCTGGCACAGCTTTGGTGAAAAGAGTAATAATTCAGACACACAAATATCTATTAACAATGATAGTACACAGAGCAAACTACAAACAACATTAAACATAAAACTCACAAGTTACACTACAGTATGTGCAAATTTACTAACAAGGCATCCCAGAGGCCTATGTCATGGCCTCCCATAAAAACCCCAGACTGCTACCGAGTATTTAACTCTAATGTAAGGTGTACAGAGGCCAAAAGAAGAGAAAGCTGCCTTCTAAACTAAACAGAATATGATGTAGGGTTAAATCTCTATATATAAATCCAGATGCTACAAAGTGAATGGGAGACCTATCTCCCTATTCTAAAAATCTATCCGTGAACCAGGAGAGTCTGTTTTTAACAGAGGGATTCTCTAAACAGGAAATCAGAGTTTCCAGAAACTCAGAACAGAATGGCAAGCCCTCTTAATAAGGTTCAAATACATGAATCTTGTCATTCTGGATGTGTCCTCAAGTGTTTCTCTCTCTCTTGTCATCCCCCTCCTTGTTTCTCTGTACCTGGGTCTTTTATGCTGTGTTCCTAGATTGTTGACAACAGTCTTAATCATTTATCAAGAATTTAATTCTTCCTGGCCAAATTTTCCATTTGTCTTTACCAGTCTTGGCCTCCCAATAATCCCCATCTATGAAGTGGCTTCATCACTCTGCTCTCCTCCCCACTGACAGCTGATGTGTGGTGAGCGTTCTGGCGCACTATACTTGCCGTCACATCATCCAGGTGGATGCTGCACATTGGTGGTGGTGAAGGGGAGTCCCTATTACCTATAAAGCACTTTGAGGGGATGTCCAGAAAAGTGCTATATAAGTATAAGGAATTATTATTATTATTATTATTATTATTATTATTATTATTATTATTATTATTAATTAACTAAGATAAACAAAGGTAGACTTTACTATTGCTCAGATCACTGAATTGCACACCCCAACATCCCAGCAAACACCTCCTTGCTTTGAAGGTGTTACCCATTGTTATCTAGATTCTTAAGGAAATTCAATGGTCACAATACCTGCAACACCATAATGGTTTAAATTTCAGGAAGGCAAGAGAAATCTTATGTAATCTTAGGAAACCACTATTTCCTATAGACGAACGACAGCACACTAGTGCAAAGATAATGAGGTATAGCAAGTAAGGTGGCATAGCAGAAGATGTAAATCAAAATTAAAAATGATTGCTATATAAAGTAAGTTTTACCCTGAATGTGGGATAGCAAATTTCTGTAAGATGCAAATTCAGAATCACAGTAGTTCTGACATCACAAGCCTGAAAAAACACTGTCTGATGAAAACTGCCAGTCTGAGAATGCAAAAGATTGCAAAAACCACAATCACACAGGAAACCGGAGTGTGTGTTGTAAAAGGGCACATCATTAAAAATGCAATATTCACAAGTGCTTTTAAAAATCAGGCTATAATAAAGTTTTGCAAAGTCTTTGATTAGAGAACTATTGAATCCATTACTTTAAAGATCCATTCAACAATTCATAAAGGAAGTGCATGTATGCACACCCACAAAAGAACAAGCCACCATTTTTTGTCTCAAACATTGTTTAATTCATCCTGTCCTGTCTCTTTGTTGCAAACGTTACAGAAACCAGCTCATCTAAAAAAAAGGCAGAGAAGCTGTAAATAACTAGATATTTTTTTCACATAATGTAAGGAAATTAAAAACTCGAAATGTCTGAATAATGAGCCTGATGCTGACAATCTGGTGACATCCTAAAGAAGAAACAGTGGTGTTAAAGAGCTAATTTAAAAAATAAATGAATTCCTCTATCAAAGTTACTGTATATCAGTTTGTTGGGGTTTACCACCTTTTTAAACAAGTTTTCTCTCAGTGGTTAACAAGAGAAAGATGTTAACTGTAAAGATCTTTGTATTTTATACTTTTTTGTTCAGATAGTGCACAGGAAGAAAGTACAAACTCCAATGTACAAACTCTACACATATCTCTTAATCTGTATCAAGCAGTACCAAACCTGAATTTACTAGTCTTTTATTTGACATTTTATGCCTATGCTACGAATATAGCTTTTTAAATGGTCAGAAAAGGATTTGTCTTTGGCCTTCAACAGGTACTTTAACAGATATCTAATTCTGAGGGAGTCGAAAACATTGTATAATCACTGTGTTGCATTTTTTGCAAACTAGTAAAAGCTTCATGAAAAACAAGTACAGCTTTGGTTAAAAATACATTGAAAACTGGGAGCTCTTGAGGTTAGTATTTTGCTTTTGAACTACGTTTAAAAAAAAATTAAACAATCTCCCTTCTGGTAGCTCTAAAACCTGTCAGAACCACAGAAGGGATTTGATTGCAAATATGACGCAAACAGCAAATAGGAAACAGCCAGTCTCCTCACCACTAGGGTGGAATCGGCAGAGCTTGTATCCTGCACTGCCAGGGAAGCAATTAGAAGATAACTTGAAAATGCTGGTTCTTACTTGGAGGCACTACAGTACAGAGATGTCAGGAACATTTATTCCTCTTCCGTTCTCTGTTTCAGATGCTAATCTTGAGACCTCTGACAGAGCTATCAGAGGGCGTGCCCAGCTGCATGAGCTATCCGATGCTAGGATACACAGGAAGGGATAAGCCACTCCACCTCTCTACTTACCAACAAGACATTTCCTCACCCCTCACAACATCCAGGAGAACAGACTTGTAAATGTACCCTCACACCAGTGTCAGATGTTGGAGACAGCTGACTGCTTCATATTTTTTGGACAGTATGTTTGCATAATAGCACGTGAATATCATCCTTTATAGGAATGCTTTGTCCCAAACAGGTCTCGTAATGATTTTAAAACCCAGGTTTGTATATCTACTATACTATTAACTACGCCATTTATTTGAGAAGTTATCCATTTCACACCTCACACTAACATCATGCCACAACAGCAGGCAGAAAAGAGAATTATCAGATTCTTTGTGAAATGCAAACCTGCCGACCACACTTCTGAGTGAAGATCCAAATTATGTTCACTTAGTTCTTCAGAAGCTTCAGGCTAATTGAATTAAAATATTTAAGTTGCACATACACTCACAGCTTCATTAGCAAATGTAAGCTAAATCAATCATGGAATGCTGCAATCTGGATTCATTTGAAGACACTGAATTGTGCAAACTGTACTTTTACCTAAATGGTCTGGGATTCCTCCAATGCAGTTCGAGAATATTCTCGTCTGGAATGGTATATTTAAAAACAGAGAAGGTATTTCTTTAAAGCTGAGAGGCTAATGCACAAATGGCAACGTACTTTGGAGTACATCACACATACTGTATATGCTGGCAGACGTACACTACATTGGTCACATTTCAACATTCAAAATAATAAGAAATATGTAAAGAGCAGCATAAATGTACTATTCACATAATTCTGAAATGACCCCAATACAGCAAAGAAAAAATAAGCATAGGTTTTCCATCCATTTTCCAACCATTTGATCTGACACAGGGTCATGTGGGAGCCACAGCATACCCTGGCATGCAACGGGCACAAGATAGCACACACCCTGGACTGGATGCCAGTGCATCGCAGGGCAGACACACAAAGTAAGACATACCCACACTCACACCATGGCCAATTTTCCCCAGTGTCAACCCAGGACCCCAGAGCAGCAATGTAAACCACTGCACAACCATACCTTGCAACAAGGGTAACGCTAGATATTAATGAATTAAATTAAATGTATTTTTGCATTGGCAAACTCATTGACCTGCTCTGTCAATTCAAAACTGTATACTTAGTATGATCCTAATGCAATTAAAATGTTTTTGTAAATATATTGATAATTAAGCAGAAACTGTAACAGTATAAATATGTGATTGTAAATAAGTAACAGCATCCCTACATGGTGCCTTAAAACACGTATCTCATAATTCAAATGCCTAAAAAAGAAAAAAAAATGCCTTTCCACAGGAAAATACACACAATGGTTTACCATTTCAATACAATCATTAGTGACAGATGCCAGAGCTGAGTAGTTACAAATACATTTCAAATAGTTTTTGTATAACTGCTAAGAAAGCCTCTCTTTAAAACATTCATTTTGATTTAATCTGAGAAATGACAGGGCAAAAGCAGAGTGCTTGTGCTTTGGAAAAAATTGTCTAAAGAGGTTTATGAGGTTTTTTTGCAACATACAGTACAAATGTACATAACCAAAGTAAGGGGGTGATATATCCTAGTACTTTGATTTCATGCTAATGCTGCGAACTAGGTTTATACTGTATGTTTATTTATCCTGTAAAAGCACGTGGAAGCCTGTTTATTCTGCAGGGTTTTTAAAAGTATTAAAAGCACAAATGAGCTACATCTGTCTGTTCACAAATAAGAGCAGATAAACAGTGACTGCTGTAAACTTTGTGGATGTGATGCCAAGCAACCTACTGTTTACAGTAGTGAAAAAAAACCAAAAGGAATCACCTTCTCCATTCATTTCAGTTCTTCATTTGAGGGGATAAGAAGGCCCATTTCGTGTTTAGGTAAAGTTAACATTAACAAAATATTTCAGAATATCCTTGTTTCACAATACTTGACCTTTTGCAGCCACGCCTTTTGGTAAGCGGAATTCCAGAATCTCCAATAGAATGTAAAAGCACTGTGTAGTAAATAAAGGCATTTTTTTTTAAAGTACAACAGCGAGCACATGAGAAATGTTACAGGCTCTTTGTGCAATCGAACAGATTCAAGGTACGACAGTGAAGAGTGAGGG